AAATGAACTTTAGAACTTTGGGGTGGGAGGTCTGAGGAAGGGAAGGGATAGTAGGAGAAAAACAAAGGAGGGAGTAACAATGCTTGACCAGAAATGTACTCATTACCTTACTCATGTAAATGTAACCCCTTTGTACAGCATTTTTACAATCAAGTCAAATTAAAATTTAATTAATAAAAAATCCTGATTTTAAAACATTTAATGTTAGAATAATACCACTAGATGGCAGTGAAAGCCCACAGTATATATTAAAAGAGCTATCTAGCTAAGTTTTCTATGGAAATCACAGAGTTTAGTGTTTTATCTTCAACAAAGAGTCTCCAGGCTTGGGTATTTGACTAAGACCAGGGACACTCAGAAGGAGCTGTCGGCATGCTGAATTGTGGGGGAATGTCTTCTGTTTTTGGAATTTAGAGACTGGAAGCTTGGCTTTGCCTCTTTTTCCTGCCTTATTTATCAGCAAAGGCCACCTTTCAAGGAGATGTGTCCTTGGAGAAGTCTGTAACAGTGAGTGAGGTGATGTGAGGTGCCTGAGACTGTAGCAAGTCCTGTAGTGCTAGTGTCTTGAGGAGATGTGGCCCTGGATGGCTCTGTCTCTGTCTCTGTCACAAACATCAAAGTCCTTGTGAGGTCATTACAAGAAAGTGAACAGACAGGAAAAGAGTCTAAAACAGATGACAGTCTAGACTTCCCGGCTTCCAGAACTTTGATTTTAAAACTATTCCATAAATTTGTATACCAGCGCAAGATATCTGTGTTCTCCATGACAGTGCAGGGAAACTAAGTCAAAAAACCAGCTCTCCCTGAGCAGGATCAGCCTTAGGAATTGACATGTAGTTTGGACATGTAGTTGCAGACTTGCTTCTCTTCTTCCTGCTTTTCCAGCCATGGTGAGGAAGCAGGACTCAGGCTCCATTCTCAGTGAGCTTGAATTCAAGAATGTTGCCTATCAGTTGAAGGTGTAAGCCTGCTTAGTTAATGGATCAGAATCAAAAAAACATCAACTAAATTGGATGCTTTACTGGTATTGTTTGTAGATGTACATACATTTTTTCTTCTGTAAGCGACTGAGAAGATCCTTTTTATCCTAACATTCTTTTCTCTACATGGCCCTCAGTTCAGACTTTATCATGCCTCTCCTGACTTGTAAATGACATACCTATATACTCTGGGGTGTCAGGGTTGTGCCATTACTTTGGATTCACATAGGAAAGAGAAGGCTGTCTAGGTAAAATAAAAAAGAAATATGTATGTATGCATTTGTGCATTTCATTTGTTTATTTTTATTATAATAGTTTTCCTTGTAGCGATGTTTCATCTCCTTGGTTATGCTTATGTATTCTTACTTTTGAGGAAATACTTTCATAATTTCAGTTTTCCTCATTTATTATCATGTTGAGAATAGTTTTGCTTCATATTTTGGGGGGGGGGCTGAGGTAATTTTTTTCTATCCCTTGTCAATTGAGAGATAATTTATCAATCACTCTTCTCCAATTCATGGCAACATTTTAACTTATTATCTTTTTATATTTTCTAGTGCTTCTCTGCATCCAACTTGCCAAAAACAATGACCACTACTGAGCCTCTACAAGTGCATGACACCTGGGAAGAGCAGACCATCACCTGATTTGCAGTTGAGGGCAAATGGCCAGCAGGACTCATCAGCAAATTCACAATGATCCAATCCTGAGAATGAAACCCTACCATGCCTGGTTGTTTGGCAAGGAGAGCTATACTTTGTCCTGTTTTGAGAAGTATAAATTCAAATCCTGGTATTCTACAAGGCTTATGTATCTACAAGAGGCCAGTGCGGGTAGCTCATGCCTGAAAAGCTACCTAAACAGAAGGCTGAGACCTGCTGATCCCAGTTCAAAGCGAGCCAAGGAAAGGAAAGTGCAAGAGACTCTTTCCTCCAGTTAACCAACAATTACAGAAATGGAGATGTGGCTCAGGTGGAAGAGTGCTGACCTTGAGTACAAAAGCTCAGGGCCATGGCCCAGACCCTGAGTTCAAGTCCCAAGACACACATACACACACACACACACACACACATACACACACACACACAAACACACACAAAGTTAAAAAAATACACAAAAATTTAGTCATATATGAGTCTTCTTATGGTTGCTCATCCTTGGGGCGGGGGAAATAAAAGGGTTTCTTTTGATTTATATCATTTTGATTTATATCATTTCTTTTGATCTATATCATTTATAACTCATATACATGATTGAAGTTACAACCTAATGGGAAATTACCTGTTAGTCATTTCCCCTTCCATGTGATTGGCATTTAATTTCTATTTGGAACTTTCTTTCAGTCCTGGTATCTCAAAAAGTATGCTCATTCTCTTTGCATAAGCAAGCAGCAAAGGAATAAATGAAATAATTTACAAATAACATATTTATAAGATGATTTCTTTGTTGCTTTGTATGTCACTTCCCTATGGTGTAACCCATGTTTTCACTGTATTTGGTGTTGGTATAATTTAGGAAGGAGAAGGGAAAAAAAACAAATTGTTTAAATAGGCATACATGTGGCCCCACTGCAATAATGAGATTTACAAGACGTTTTGTCAAAAAATGAAATTTGCAACTTTGGTGCTGAGGGGGAATAAGGTGGGTGGGTAGGATGGGGGGAAAGTGGAGGAGAAAGGAATGGATGGGAAGTGGAAACAAAGGAGGAGGCAACAATGCTTGATAAGAAATGTACTCATTTTTTTCTTTCATGCATTTGTTTCTAACACATTTATAAGATTACCTCTTTGTTGCTTTGTAGTCCCTCCCCCACAGCATAACCCCTGCTTTCACTATATTTGATGTCAATATAACTTGTGGAGGAGATGGGGAAAAAGCAGTTGTTTAAGGATACAGGTGGACCTGTTGCAACAATGAGAAGTACAAGTTGTCATGTCCAAAACGAGCTTTACAACATTGGTGTGGGGGTGGGGGAGTGGGGGGGAAGGGAGGGAAGGAGAAGGATTGGGATTGGGGGGGAGAGGGGAGGCTGGGAAGGGATGTGAAAGGTAAACAAAGGAGGAGGCTGCAATGCTTGGTAAGAAATGTACGCATTTTCCTGCCCATGTAATTGTAACCCCTCTGTACAGTATGTTCACAAATAAAATAAAATTAAAAAAAAGAACTGTACTCATTACCTTGCTCATGTAATTGTACCCCTCTGTATGGTGTTTTTACAATAAAAACATATTTAAAAATAATATATACCACATATATGGTATATATGTGCACATTAGAAGGAAACTAGGAGGACGACAGAGAAACAGAGAGAAACAGGGGAAAACATACGACAGTGGGATCTATCAGCTGCACTGGACATTGATCAAAGTGAACTAAGCAACTCAATGGAAGCAATGGGAGGGAGGGAATGAGCAGCAAAGAGGGAACAGCTGACACTAAGCAAAAGGAAAGAAATGTATATATCACCCCATGTGGAAGAAATAATTGAGTTGTCAGAGCTCATAGAATTAACAAACTTTATGAACCATGATAAATATAATTTATCCCACACATTCTTGTGTTTGTGACTATAAGTATCACTTACTTTGTGACGATAAGTATTACCATCCTGTGAAATTCATTTAATCACTTAATCACAATAAAAATTTGCTACAAAATAAGTTTAATAGAAAAAAACTTTTTGTGTAACCCATAAGAAAATGTCACATACAGTGGCCAATAGCAACAGATATGTATGTTCTTCAGGCTCTGGATGTTGTAAGTGGAATATTTATTCCTCTGTACAACTCTGAACCAGTTTTCAGTTTCTTAGTAGCTTATTATGAAGCTTTAGGGAAGACATAAGCTTGAGTCTTTGTTATACTGAGACATGAACACAGCTCTTGCTGGGTCGTGCTATGAGGTGGAGTCCTGGCTGTAGCTGCCCACATGGAATGCAGGCAGGACAAGGAGGGTCTCATACAGAGTTAATAACTTTTCCAGGAGCAGGCTCTGTAGAAAGATTAAAAATAGATGTTGCAATAGTCTCACTAACTAACTGAAAATAACTGGCATTTTTGTCCATTCTGTCTTATAGAAGAGAGAGAAATATTAAGAATGTTGTTGTTAGTCTGGTGAAGAGTTATGCTGAAGAATTGTCATTCCATATTTACTGATTGTGAAATGGACTATGGAAAATTTAGTTTTCTCTATCATTTTTCTCTTTCATTTAGAAATGTTATTAGTTCACACTCTGTAAGGAGGATTTTATGCTTTGGGTTATTTTGTTTTGAAACAAGTGATCATAAGAACTTAATTTATTAGGCCCTCTATGAAGGACCTTGACTTCACTGATCAAATCTCCTGGATTCCCAGTTAAAATGAGGCTCTGTTCTTGGGTTTGAGGCCTCCTAATGCTCTGGATGACTGGTAAAGGCAGAGGGAGATGAGGATGGAAAAGGGGGTTGAGGGTGAGCCCTCAGGGCCACTGCTTCTTGTTTGTATTCTGTTCATGGATTAGATGCGCAGAACCTGTCCTCTAGAATGGGGCAGGTGAAGTTAATTATATGAGAGATATGAACATTCTAGATGGAACCCGGTCCTGAGCTTTGTTGACAACTATGACAAGTGTGTAGAAGGTAGAATACATGAGATCTAGAACCTCATTTTTGCTTTTTAATATTTTTATATATTTTGAAATATTGAATGGTTTTAGGATAGAAGGAAAAACCATGAAAAGGATTGGGAATTAATATATAACCACAGAAAAAATTATATACCACATATAACATTGTACTTTTCATTTATTTTAATTTCAGGGTCCAGTGGCGATATTGTAATGACTCAGACTCCACTCTCCCTGGCTGTCACCCTGGGAGAGAAGGTCTCCCTCTCCTGCAGGTCTAGTGAGAGCCTCATAGATAGCGATGGAGATAGTGCTCTATCTTGCTACTTGCAGAAGCCTGGCCAGTCTCCAAAATTGCTGATCTATGGGGCTTCCATCCAAGCATCTGGGGTCCCAGGCAGATTCAGTGGCAGTGGGTCAGACACAGATTTCACACTGCAAATCAGCAGGGTTGAGGCTGAAGATATTGGGGGTTATTACTGCATGCAAGATATAGATACTCCTCCCACAGTGATACAGTCCTTAACAAAAACATTTCTGTAGGGCTTGGCCCAGCTGTACTATTTCAGAGCTTGGCTGGGGAGTAGCATAGCAAATTCTCTGAACTGAAGCAGTAATCTGAGTATGGAGGACTTGACAGAAGATGTCATACCAGAGACCTTGTCCAAGTGGGATCTTGTATTACTTCAGCTTCCAGGGACTCTCAAAACCAGAATTTATAATGTTACTGCAGAAGTCAATTTATCACTTATTCCCAAATGTGAAAGACAAAGACAAAAATATCTACCACCAGCATGCCATTTCTATAGTTTGGAGAGAATTACAGATTCAAATCCCAGGCAGAATGACTCAAGAAGCAGTAGTAGCTAGCAATTGAAGAATGAGTCACAAAGCTAGGCTTAAAATGAGACGTATTTTAAAAAACAGGAATGTTACTGAATATCACCAAATACAGAATATGTTTGTTAAATATAAAGCAAATTAATTATATGACTCAGATGTTACAACCTTGTTGCTTAATCAACTCATGATTCTGAACGTCCCTTTATTATTTTTTAATTGTGAAAATACTATACATAGGGGTTACAATTACATGAGCAAGGTAATGAGTACTCTTCTTATCAAGCATTTTTGCCATCTCCTTTGTTTCCTCTTACCATCCCTTCCCTCCCATCTTCACCCCAGACCATAGTTATAAAGTTCATTTTTCGACATAACGTCTTGTATATCTCATTGTTGTAATGGGTCCCCCTATTTCCCTATTTAAACAATTTGTTTTTCTCTTCCCCTTTGCAATTTATACCAACATCTAATAGTGAAAACAGGGGCCTCCTTGGGACAGGCCCATTTTTTTAAACAAGATACAAATTGAATTATGACTCTGAATAATGCTTTGTTCCATGGCCATTTCCTCCAGTCATTCTCTAATGTTGGCTCTTTATCACCTGCCTCTTACACCTTAGAACAATATGTTCTTCCCTTCCAAAAACCTACCATTAGATGGCAAACAACCCTCACAATGAGCAAAGGCTTCCACTGAGACTTGAGTGTGTATTGGATTTTCTCTCAGAAAATGCACAGACCACTCAGACATCCAAAGCAGACCCCTGCTATTTCCTTCAGCACAAGCATCATCTTAGGAAAGGACCATCCTTACCAGTTTCTGTATTACATTTAAGTTCTCCTAATCCCTCTGTCACTGATCTAAAATATCTCAGCTTCCACTGGTGGTAAAGCATGAAATAGCCTCATAGCCACAGCTATGCTGGGAGAAGTTCTATACTTACTGATTCTTAAACAGACAGAAAACATTTATAAAATTATCCACTGAGTATATCATGAGCTTTAGTAGGGAAGCATTTGAATATCTAAAAGAACCACAAACCACACAGAGAGTTGGTTTTAGTGCCAGGGGCAGACAATACTATTGAACAAATGCTACTTCTGCCGCTGCTCCCTCTCTGCTCCTGCCAACACCACTCCATGAAGCAAGGCTATGTCAGGTGAGACAGGGCTTATCCATGTGTGTCCTGATTGACCTGGAACTCTCCATATTCCTTCCTGTGTGAGTGATTAGGATTACACATAGGCAGTGTCTGTGGTAGAAACAGTCCTTTCATCTCAAATAGCTTATATTTGTATTTCAGAGGATGTCACTATCTATCAATCTTACACCTTATATCTTAAATAAGAATACTACTTTTACACATAACTTTGAAGGCATTTTAGGAAAATGAATAAACACAAAACACTTTGTCATGGTTTACATGGCAGCTAGCCTGTTAGAGATCAGTGACACAGTGAGCCTGAAACCCCTGTGTGCAGATCAGTTTCTTACTCTATGCACAAAACAGATCTTTTCTTTTTAAATAAGATTTTTCTAATTGTGAAAATACTTTGCAGACGGGTTACAATCACATGAGCAAGGGAATCAGTATATTTCTTATCAAACATTGTTGCCTTCTCCTTTTGTTTTTCCCTACCATCCCTGCCTTCCCATTACCACAACTACATTTCCCTTTCCCCTCCCCCCCACACTCCCAATATCAAATACAGTGAAAACAGGTGTTATACTGGGGGAGAGGGACATATAAAGCAACAAAAAATTACGTGGTACCTTATAAATACATTAGAAACAATTGTAAGAAAGAAAGAAAACTACTTGTGTTCCTATCTTGGGGTTCATTTCACTTAACATCATGTTATCTGACCTTTTCTTCTTGTCTCAGATATACACTAGTTATTGCAAATAAGGGAAACCATGGGACCTATGTTTCTTTGGGCCTGACTTACTTCAGTTAATATAATTTTGCCCAAGTCTTTCCATTTCCTAACAAATGGGGCAATGCCATTCTTTCTGATGGAGGCATCGAATTCCATTGTGTATATATACCACATTTTATCCATCCATTCATCTGTTGAGGGACATCTGGGTTGGTTCCCTATCTTAGCTATGGTAAATAATGCTGCAATAAACATAGTTGTGCTGGTAGCTTTAGTGTGGTATACAGAAGAGATCTTTATGCTTATGATTCCTACCTGAGGCTCAGGGACTAACAGACTTATTACATAAATTGAGAAATGGTTGATCTCCAACCTCTTATCCACTCTTCTTTCCTCCTGAAACACAGCCACTCCTAACATGTCTTTGTCTCAAACCCAGGTGTGGGGTGACTTTGTGTGTACTAGAAGTGGATGTTTATTAATAGACAGGTCCACCTTCAAAGTTCTTCCCATTAAATGCAGGTCAATAGAAAGGCATGAGTTTTATAATTTCATCATAGCCTGGTTTGGCTTCAGAAGTCTGATATTTCAGGCCACAGAAACATCATCACCAGGGTAGAATGGTGAATCTCTCAAATGCAGATCCACATGCAGTCCATTTAGTGAAGGGTGCTGAAGAGAACTTTGACTTTGGCAGTGACTTTCTCTGTGTCTGAGCTTCTGACTTTGAGGAACAGTGTTATTTTGTGTACCTGCAGCAGCTGCTTGGACTCACAATGATGAGAGGTTGATTCACTGTCATGTAAATGTCCTGCTAGTGGCTCCCCAGGTGTGACATCCTGCACTAGGGTGGACAGTGTCCCCACACGCTGGTCCTGATGTGGGAGCCTTCCTCATTGTGCTCTGCCTTCACTGTCTGTGGCAGTTTTTCCTTGCTTCCCATGCTAAGGATGTCTTCTCCATTCCTTGTGACTTAATTGCCTTGCTCACCCTTTACTGTGTTTTCTTTCATCAAATCTGAACCTGGGGGCTTGGAACGTGGCTCAGTGGTAAAGCCCTTTCCTTGCATGCATGAGGCCCTAGGTTCGATTCCTCAGCACTTCATAAGCAGAAAAAAAATGCCAGAAATGGTGCTGTGGCTCAAGTTGTAGAGCGCTAGCTTTGAACTGAAGAGCTGAGGGACAGCACCCAGGCCCAGAGTTCAGGCCCCAAATCAGACCCCCCCCCCAAGAAATCTGAACCTGCTGTGACCTCAAGTTTTAGCCCAGGTACTAAAAATGTTATTTAGGAACTGGAAGAGATGATAGTGTGGGAACATGAAGGTTTATGAAGCAGAGGAGACTGAAATAGATGTGAGTTCTTGGTTTAGGGAACATCTTATCTTTGAGGGGGGTCTTTTGGGGCTATTGATAGGAGACAGGAATGTTACCTGAGAGATTTGGAGACTGCTAGCTCAGAAATTCATGAAGATCACCAAGTTACATATATAGCCATGTCTTTTAAATCTTTCCCACCCTGCTGATTTTCATGTGCCCTGAGCACAGCCCACTGCCCTGAGGACTTCTTCAGAGGCTTCTCACACCCTATGCAGGAGAAGGTTCCACTCAACAAACAGCCTGGACATGAAGGCCCCTGCTCAGCTCCTGGGGCTCCTGCTGCTCTGGCTCCCAGGTAAGGAAGAACAATGCGGAGGATTACTCATCTCATGTTAACAGAGCAGCTTGAGGCTTCGTGGAAGTACTTGGATGATATCATTAATTAAGTGACTAATTGTTTTAATGTTTACAATGTCAGGTGCCCATTGTGATGTCCAGTTGACTCAGTCACCATCCTTGCCTGCATCTCTGGGAGAGAGAGTTCACATCACTTGCAAAGCCAGTCAGGTCATTAGCAATTATTTACATTCTTACCAGCAGAGAGCAAGGAAAGCGCCAAAGCTCCTGATCTATTTTGCACCTACTTGGCAATCTGGGGTCCCATGGAGGTTCAATGGAAGTGGATCTGGCACAGAGTTCACTCTCAGCATCAGCAGCCTGGAGCCTCAACATTTTGCCACATACTATTGTCAGCAGGGTAATTATTTACCTACCCCTGTGACACCAGTCACAGGGTGAGAGGCTGGGCTGACCCAGATGCTTATCCTGGTGTTTCCAACTACTGACAGAACATCTCAGATGCAGCCCCCTTTGTAAGGTCACTGGAAAGCATTGGTAGATACGTTCTGGAGTCAATTGCATACCTTAACTGTCTGTCCTCCTGCTCATCCCAAGCAGCACACACCTGACACTGCCTCCTGTGACTTACAAAGATCACTGCTCTGTACTCATGTACGTTCCAGTCTGTACTACAATTCTGCAGTCAGTCAATAACGAAGTCATTCTAGATATGTCAGGGCAGGTTTTTAAATGCAAAAAAAAAAACCTTTTGAAAAACATTTTAAAAACAATTTTTTGAAGAAAAATAGTCATTAAAATTTATTTGAAATCAATTTTGTATTGCCATGGTACAATTTATTTTGAGGTACAATATGATGTTTGGGGATGCTAAATAATTAAACACGTGAGTTTAGTAATTTAAACATTTATCTATTTCTTGTCATGGAATTTTTTTCAGCAAATGTATTTTTAAATACTCATTCCAACTCTCATATTAAAACATCCAACATTTTAATCTAGTTCTCAGAAAATTAATTCATTTTGATACTGTGTAACATATTAATATTTTACACTGCCATTGTCTAAACCATAGAAAGTAGAGTTGAAAAATATGTATTTAAATAACTTCAGGAAATATCAAGAAAAAATTAACTAATACTTTGTATCATGTTTTGGAAGGTTTGAACATGTTTTTTTTTTTCTGGAGCTTGATCTTGGAGGTGTTATTCAGAGAGCCGATATCAAAAGCACCCTTGGCTTCTGGCCTAGTTAAAATAAATGCAAACTGAAGAATGGAAAGAAATATATGTGAATAAATAAAATGCATTTAAGACACTTGTGGAGTCATACACTAGGTACAGTTACAGAGTGACCCATATTATATCTATATTTATCAGAGTAATCAGAAGTGACTTCCATATATCCTACAGACATACTGAGAGTCGTAAGTTCACATTTAGTAATTAACATGCATTCTTACACATGGAAATGTATATGGAAGGGAGGAGTTGCATTGGGAAGGATGGTTCAGAATGATGAAAGAGTGATAGGTAATGATGAATTTTCATAACCATGAATGTTTATGGACATCATTTTGTAAAACTAGTGATGGAGGGGCAACATGACCTGGTGCCAGCCAGATCGATGAATAAACATACCCCTTACCTGAAAAAAACAAATACAATGTAAGACAAAAGATTTGTATGGAGGGGGCTGGGAAGGTGGCTCAGTGGTAGAGCACTTGCCTTGCATGCCTGAGGCCCTGGGTTCGATTCCTCAGCACCACATAAGCAAAAAGAAAAAAGCTGGAAGTGGCGTTGTGGCTCAAGTGGTAGAGCGCTAGCCTTGAGCTGAAGAGCTGACGGACAGCGCCCAAGCCCAGAGTTCAGGCCCCTCTACCGGACCCAAAAAAAAAAAAAAAAAGATTTGTATGGAGTTCTTTTGCCCACACTCTCACCTTTGTCCAAGTCCCTTCGATAGGATTGAGTCCCTTCCCCCTTCCAATCCTATATGTGATTAGAAGAAGCCTCATCTCATTCAGAATCTAAGAAAGCAGAGAGGGAGAGGAGTGCTAGGAAATGTATTTCCTGAAGAGACTATGCTGATGGGAGCCCACAGCTGATGACCCAGAGAAGTTACCCCCTAACTCTCAGAATATATCCAGGAGGGCCTTGTCCAAGACCAGGTACACACATGCCTCTTCCTATTAGCACCCTGTAACCATAGTAAGAGTTTCAGTAAGTCTCAGTTCATAGAAAATGAGATATTATCATGAAATATGTAAGGGACCATTCTCAAATAGAAATATTTCTTGTCAAAAAGGAATCAAACACAACTAAACATGCATGTAGTATTATTTTCTTTCCTACTCAGAAAGTGTCCAGAATTCAGGATCATCAATAGCATCCCTGAGAGCATGTTACAAATAAAATATTACAAAACCACTTCACATCTGAGTATGAATCTGCCTTTCAGCAAGTTAACAAGTAATCTCTATAAGGTTTGAGAAGTTGTATTTAGAAGAAGAAGAGTATCACAGGTAGAGAGCTGCTTTTTACTCCTCAATTAGCCTATTAAGAGCACTTCTATTTAAACCAGATTTCTCTGTCTCTCACACACACCTGTGCGCACACACACATAAACATGACACACGTGAGTCAGTCCTTCCCTATAACAAAGAAACTGGCCTAAACCCTGAGTAAAGAAGTTTGTTTAGCATACAGTTTTAGATGCAGAAAGTCCCCGATGCTGAATCTTCATCTGTCTGTACTCTGGTGAGGCCTGTCTTGCATTTGGTACAAGATGTTGTGTTAATAAAGAGAGAACCAGTTGTAATTTGTGGTGGCCAAGCATATGGTTGTCTTCCTTTGATAGCAGGGGACTATTATGAGAACTGCCTCACTGCATGAGAGTATCTTTAACCCTCTGGTGAGCAGTGGTATAACCTCCAATCCCATAATATAATCACTTCTCACAAGTCACCTCTTCCATTGGCCAGGTTCATCCATTGGGGTATCAGTACAAACATCCTGCATGTCCTCTTCCTTCCTTGAGGTAAAGTAGAGACTGAAATCTCTGAGACAAATAAACAGAGACTGGAGACATTCAGAGATTTTATATTAATTTAAGATAATCAAAATTATATATATACATATATATCATTTTAAATAGTTACACAAAGTGTTCTCAACTAAGTATGTCAATTGATAAGAACACTATATTTTGATCCTCTCGCCCTTCCGTTACTCTCCAGATGAAACTTTAAGAAATCCTTTGATTAATTTGCTGAAAAATACATTGTGGAAGAATGATAGGATATTTAGTGAATTTAAGAAACTGTTACAATGTAGGGGCTGGGATGGTGACTCAGTGGTAGTGCGCTTACCTTGAATGCATGAGGCCTTGGGTTCGATTCCTCAGCACCACATAAGCAAAAAGAAAAAAGCCTGAAGTGGTGCTGTGGCTCAAGTGTTAGAGCGCTAGCCTTGAGCTGAAGAGCTGAGGGACAGCGCCCAGGCGCAGAGTTCAGGCCCCAAGACTGGACCCCCCCCCAAAAAAAAACTGTTACACTGTAATTCTATGCTTCCATCTGAAAGAATGACATTGCCCTATTTGTTAGGAAATGGAAAGACTCAGAAAAATAGTATATTAAAATATAAAATAAAATAAAATAAAATATATAATATAATATATAACTATATAAAATATAAAATAAAATTAAAATATTATATTAAAATATTATAAAGTGTAATAAGCCAGGCACAAAGAAATATAGTTCCCATGGTTTCCCTTATTTGCAATAACTAGTATATATCTGAGACAAGCAGAAAAGTTCAGATAAGATGATGTTAAGTGAAATGAACGCCAAGATAAAAGTACAAAAGTGCTTTTTTTCTTTCTTGCTATTGTTTCTAATGTATTTATAATGTACCTGGTGAATTTTTTGTTTCTTTGTATGTCCTTCTCCCACGGTTTAACCCTTGGTTTCACTATATTTGATGTTGGCATAATTTGCGGAGGGGAAGGGAAAAACAAATTGTTTAAGTAGGGATACAGGTGGACCCATTGCATCAATGAGATGTACAGAATGCTATGTTAAAAAAGGAACTTTACAATTTGGCAGGGTGGGTGGGGTAGGTGAGGGGGAGTGTAGTTGTGGAGATGGGAAGGAAGGGATGGTAGGGGAAAAACAAAGGAGGAGGCAACAATGCTTGATAAGAAATGTACTCATTACCTTGCTCATGTGATTGTAACCCCTCTGTACAGTATTTTCACAATTAAAAACTTATTAAAAATTACATTGAATTCATACTTTCAATTGCAATCATTTCTACCATTAGGTTAAAAGACCATTAGGGTACTTACTGCCTGTAAGAGAAAATTTTGTTATGCCTGTCAATTCTATACCCTTCATGTTAATATGAATATCCTGGAAAATAGAGGTGCTAACCTTTGTAGCTAGCATCCCTAAAAGATAACTTGGTAACTATGGTATGCCTCTTCATCTAGCTCAACTCTGTGCTTTTACTGGTCAACTATTTTGAGAATCAGTTCCAGATATTATCAGTGGAGTCCTTCTGTCCATGCTACAGGCATCATGGATTTTATTTGTTATCACCAGTATTTTGATTGGAAGGGGTGTGGGGGGGGGAACTCCCAGTCTATTAAAAATGTAGTCAGTTTTGGCTCACCCCAACAACACACACAAATTTGTGAACACACTCATACCTACTGCATATCAATCTGTATTTTTAAGAAGTTAACAAGGATCCATAAAAGGTTTTAGAAACTAGGCTTTAGGAGAAGTCGATTTCTGCTAAGGAGATCTTTAAATGGCAAAATTATTTAAGCACAGACAAATATTTATCAATTATATGATCTCAGGCCTGAGAATAATAATGATATTTAGAAATTTGAGGATATATCAAGATTAAATATTATTCAAAATATTGCCTACAATCCCCAGAAATGGGAGAAGTAGATTCAAGTTGAGGTTTTACTGGCCAATTTTTATCAAGAAGCTATCTCAAGAGAAATCTAGGCATTGGGGTAATCTCCTATAGTCATGGTTACCAAGGCAGTACAGATAGGTGGAACATGGCCTTGTCTGTATCTTCTAAACAAAACTAAAATGCAAAAGTTTAGGAGTAGTGCTCATTTTAGAAGACTTGCTTAGCTACCTCAAAGCAGTGTTGAATGTTCAGAATACAAACACTTCAAAAATGTGTTTCCTTGTTGGATATTTTATGACCGGAATTTCTCTATGTACATTGACTTCTAGATGTTGGTCATGATCTCTATAATACTCTGCCTCTTTAGTCAATGAGGAAGATCAAACAAAATCCAATTTAGAGGCAAACTGAGTGATCTGCAGCACAACAGTTAAAGGAGCTCCAGCAGGATCATCACCAATTAAAAGCTGATATATATAACTGTTAGCAGTGGTTTACCAGTGGTTCATTGCATACTATTTTTGTTAAAAACCAATTGCATAACTATGGATATTTAAAAAACAATGGGGAAAAGGAAAAATAAAAAGTCTGCAAAATATAAAAATATGTAGAATATATTGTAATTCACATATGGAAACATGTAAGGAGCAGTTAGCATTCACTTTATCCAGATTATTTATAACATATAATGTAATATACAATAATATATAGCAATGTATAAGTAGAGAAATAAAAATGATATTTGAATAGGTAGTACAGATTTAACAAATGTGATTCATTCACAGTTAACAAATAGGCATACTTATACATATATTGGTATGTGTTTATATGGGTCATCTATAAAACATGTGCCTAGATTTATATATTTATTGTGTGCATATATACATCTATATGTACATATAGATGTGTACATATGTACATATAAATGTCCAAATGTAGCTGATAAACATGCAGCTACAATGTACACACCGAGAAATTATCACAGGTCCAATGAAACATAGTTTATCCTTTGAAGAGACTGTCTTAAAGAAAGACATGTAAGAACACCCAGCATGTAGACTTTTGAGGAAACCATGTATATATGGCTCAGTAGTCTTCTTTCTATACTCACTATATTCTTTGAAAGGTTTAAGGAAACAGAAAAAATTCTGATGATCTTTAATGATGGCCTCTAGGTTGGATATACTTCTGGACCTGGCTGTGAGAGATTCTCTAGAGAGAATTGACTAAGAGAGAAGCCCCACCCTATTATACACAGCCCCTTCCAAAGGACTGAGTTCTCATTAAACCAAAGGGGAAGGAAGATGTAGCCACCACGTATAAGATTTCCTCTGTTTCTTGGGTGCCATGTTGTGAGCTTCACCAAACTCTGCCCACATGGTAGACTAGACTTTATGATCTAAGAGTTGCAATCAAGTACTCTGCCCTTTATATTGCTTTTACTGAGGTCTTAGACACAACAAGGGAAATCTAAGTAACACAGCTTCATAACTTTGGCCCTAGCTTACTTTTTAACCAATGGTGGAAGATGAATTAGGCACCAGAAGCATTTGGGGGTTCCCAGCACTCAATTGAGAGAAATGGCTATTATTTGTTGTGGTAATAATATGTTGAGGTAGCTACTTTTAAGTAAGAGTTTCAATGTGGGAATGTATGTATTAGTGAAGCAAAGTCATTAAACATGAATCAGTCCATAAACTCATGAATTGGATTTATCCTCAGGAGTGTGAGATGTGGATGTAAACAGCACAAGAGAGCTGCAGGCCAGGAGGTGGATTCTGAGCACTCATGTCTGGGTGCTATAATCTCAGAGCAGGAGGAAAGGGACAGCTCTTCTCTGCAAGACATCACTGAATAGAGAATCCCAGTACCAAAGTTCATCCTACTGGCTCCAACTTCTACTCCATTCTTGAAAAGGTTCCCAGAACTTCTGCCTTAAGATTTCTCAATAGTTTGTAAACAAATCCATATCCTAAGATAAATCATCTTGTGCTGAGCACACTTGACAACTGTGACTAAGAACAGTGACAAATCCACAGGGAGAGCAACAGGCTCCTTTCCTTCCAATTAGAATACTTTCCCAGCAGACAGAGTCCAGAAAGCCAACACTAGCTAACTTGCAAGCCATCAGTACTCAAGCCACATAAGCACAAGGTGAGTCATTGGTTTTCCACACCTGTACCATGTCATACAACAAGTAGTGATCAACTTTTCTTCACCACTTCAGCCCTCCACATGCAGTCAGTGATTCATATTTAGTAAAATACCACGTTTGGCATGGAGAGATCTGGGGATCTCTGTGCAGCTTAGGCCTCTTGTTTCTCTATCTTCACCTGTGTGGACTTACTAGCTCTTATTCTTCAAGTTATCACTGGCAAACCACTGACACACACACAAACACACATCCACATATACACACTCAGATACAGACAGACAGATACACACACACACACACACACACACACAAATCTACCATCTTATCTGAATTTAATCCGTAGAAAAATTAGAAAGGATACATGAAAATATAATTTATAATTCTTCCTGAAAAAGAATCCTGGGGTTCATTTAGCTTAGCATCATCTTAGATGGTCATATGTACATAGTTTTTGAGATTTTCTGCTTTTCAGATAAAATTATCCTAGATGTATACTAATTATTACATATGAGGGAAACCTGAATCCTAAGATATGGACACAGAGGACTTTCTTTGTTGTTGTTTTTAATGTATTGTGTGATTTTTTTTTGTTTCTTTTGTATGTTCTTTCCCCCTGTGGTATAACCAATGTTTTCAATGTACTGATTTTGGTACCCTGAATATTGTATGTACATTTGTCTAATTTGGGGAGGAGAAAGGAAATAACAAAACGCTGAAACAAGGACACAGGATGACTCATTGCAACGATAATACACACAAGACTCTATATTGGAAATGAACTTTACAACTTTGGAGGGGGGGGAAGGTATGAGGGAGGGAAGGGAGAAAAGGGATAGTGGGAGAACAACAAAGGAGGGAGTAACAATGCTTGACAAGAAATGTACTCATTACCTTACTCATGTAAATGTAACCGTTTGTACAGCATCTTTGCAATAAAGTAAAATTAAAATTTAATAAAAAGTTAAAAAAAGAATCCTGGTGTAAAAGCATGTACTGTTCGAATACTACCACTAGATGGTAGTGAAACCACACAAGACATATAAAAAGAGCTATTTAGGGCTAGGAAGGTGGCTCAGTGGGAAAGCGCTTGCCTTGAATGCATGAGACCTTGGGTTGGATTCCTCAGCACCACATAAGCAGAAAAATAAGCCGGAAGTGGCGCAGTGGCTCAAGAGGTAGAGCGCTAGCCTTGAGCTGAAGAGCGGAGGGACAGCGCCGAGGCCCAGAGTTCAGGCCCCATGATTAGTAATCTAGGGAAACTAGAGCGAGTGTTTTATCATCAACAAAGAGTCTCCAGGCTTGGGTATTTGACTAGGACCAGGGACACTCAGAAGGAGCTGTCAGCAGGCTGAATTGTGGGGGAAAGTCTTCTGTTTTTGGAATTTACAGACTGGAAGCTTGGCTTTGCCTCTATTTCCTGCCTTATTCATCAGCAAAGACCATGTTTCAAGGATTGATTCATATCCCTCTGAGATATGTGTCCTTGGAGAAGTCTGTAACAGTGAGTGAGGTGATGTGAGGTCCTGAGACTGTAGCAAGTCCTGTAGTGCTAGTGTCTTGAGGAGATGTGGCACTGGATGGCTCTGTCTCTGTCTCTGTCACAGACATCAAAGTCCTTGTGAGGACATTACAAGAAAGTGAACAGTCAGGAAGAGAGTCTAAAACAGATGATACTCTAGACTTCCTGGCTTCCAGAACATTGATTTTTAAAACTATTCCATGAATTTATGCACCAGCTCAAGATATCTGTGCTTTCCATGGCAGTGCAGGGAAACTAAGTCACCAAACCAGCTCTCCCTGAGCAGGATCAGCCTTAGGAATTGGCATGTAGTTTGGACATGTAGTTGCAAACTTGCTTCTCTTCTTGCTGCTGCTGCAACCATGGTGAGGAAGCAGGACTCAGGTTCCATTCTCATTGAGCTTGAATTCAAGAATGTTGCCTAGCAGTTGAAGGTTTAAGCCTGCTTAGTTTTTGGATCAGAATCAGAAAAGCATCAACTAAATGGGATGCATTACTGGTATTGTTTGTAGACGTACATGTATTTTTTTTCTTCTGTAAGCAAATGAGAAGATCCTTTTTATCCAAACATTCTTTTCTCTATATAGCCCTCAGCACAGACTTTATAATGCCTCTCCTGACTTGTAAATGACATATCTACATACTCGGGGGAGTCAGGGTTGTGCCATTATTTTAGATTCACATAGCATATAGAAGTTTATGTAGGTAAAATAAAGAAGTATATGTATTTATATATTTGTTTGTGCATTTCATTTATTCAGTTTTATTATTATAGTTTTCATAGTACAGATGATTTATCTCCTTGGTTATGCTTATATATTCTTATTTTTGAGGAAATAATTTCATAATTTCTTTTTCCCTATTTAGTATGGTGTTGACAATGGTTTTGCCACATATCTTTTATTGGGCTGAGGTGATATTTTTTCTATCCCTAGTCACTTGAGAGAATTTTATCAAGCGCTTTTCTCCAATGAATGGCAACATTTAAAGTTATTATCTTTTTATATTTTCTGCTGCTTCTCTGAATCCAACTTGCCAAGAACAATGACCACTATTGAGCCTCTACTGCTGCACCACACATGAGAAGAGCAGACCATCACCTGGTATGCAGTTGAGGACAAATGGCCAGCAGAACTGATCAGCAACTTCACAATGTTCCAATCCTGAGAATGAAACCCTACCATGCCTGGTTGTGTGGGACTGTGTTTTGAGAGGTATACATTCAAATCCTGATATTCTACAAGGCTGGTGTAGCTATAAGAGGCCAATGCAGGTGGCTCATACCTGAAAACCTACCTACACAGAAGGCTGAGATCTGCTGATCACAGTTCAAAGCCGGCCCAGGAAAGGAAAGTGCAAGAGACTCTTTCCTCCAGTTAACCAACAAAAGGACAGAAATGGAATTGTGGCTGAGGTGGTTGCTCATCCTTGGTGGGGGGTATGAAAGGATAAGATTTCAGTATTTCTTTTGAGCTATATCATTTATAACTCATCTACAGGATTGAAGTTACAACCTATTGGGAAATTACCTGTGTTAGTCATCTCCCTTTCCATGTGATTGGCTGTAATTTCACTTTGAAACTTTCTTCCAGTAATGGTATCTGAAAGAGTTTGGAAAGGAATAAAAGAAATAATTTACAAATAACATATTTATAAGATAATTTCTTTGTTGCTTTGTATGTCCCTCCCCCAAGGTATAACCCATGATTTCACTGTATTTGATGTTGGTATAATTTGGAGAGGAGAAGGGAAAAAACAATTTGTTTAAATAGGGATACAGGTGGACCCATTGTACTAAAGAGATGTACAAGACGTTATGTCGAAAAATGACCTTTACAACTTTGGTGCTTGGGGTGTAGTGAGGGCAGGGGTCGAGGGAACAGGAATAGGGGAGATAGGAATTGATGGGAAGAGGAAAGAAAGGAGGAGGCAACAATGCTTGATAAGAAATGTACTCATTAACTTGGTCATGTAATTGTAAACTCTCTGTATGGTATTTTCACATTAAAACACTTATTTAAAAATAATATATAGTACCACATACGTGGTATATAAGTGCACATCAGAGGGAAACTAGGAGGAAGACACAGAAACAGAGGGAAATGGGAAAACATACAAGAGTGGGACCTATCAGCTACACTGGACATTGATCAAAATGAACAAAGCAACTCAATGGAAGCAATGGGAGGGAGGGAATGAGCAGGAAAGAGGGAAAAGCTGACACTAAGCAAAAGGAAAGAAATGTATATATCACCCCATGTGGAAGAATAACTGTATTGTCAAAGCTCATAGAATTTACAAACTTTATAAACCATGATAAAGATAATTCACCCCACGAATGTTAGAATGTGTTTGTGACTATAAATATCACTTACTTTGTGACTATAAGAATCACAATCCTGTGAAATTTGAGAAATTTATGTAATCACTTAATCACAATAAAAAACCCTATAATAAATTTTAATAGAAGAAAATTTTTGTGTAACCTATAAGAAAATGTCACAAACAGTGTCCAATAGTAACAGAAATGTATGTTCTTCAGGCTGAGTCGAATATGAATTCCTCTGTAAAACTCCGAACCAACATTCAGTTTCTGAGTAGATCCTGATGAAGCTTAAGAGAAGACTTAATCTTGAGTACTTGTTATATTGAGACATGAAAACAGATCTTGCTGGGTCCTGCTATGAGGTGTGGAGTCCTGGCTGTGGCTGCCCCCATGGAATCCAGGCATGACAAGGAGGGTCTAATACAGAGTTAATAACTTTTCTAGGAACAGACTCTGTAGAAAGATTAAAAATAGATGTTGCAATAGTCTGACTACCTAACTGAATGTCACTGGCGTTCTTGTACATACTGTCTTAAAGAAGAGAGAGAAGAATATTAAGAATGCTGTTGTTAGTCTGGTGAAGAGTTATGCTGAATAAGCGTCATCCCATATTTACAGATTGTGAAAATGCCTATGTAAAATTTAGTTTTCTGGGGCTGGGAAGGTGGCTCCGTGCTAGAGTGCTTGCCTTGCATGCATGAGGCCCTGGGTTTGATTCCGCAGTACCACATAAGCAAAAGAAAAAAAGCCGGAAGTGTTGCTGTGGCTCAAGTGGTAGAGCACTAGCCTTGAGCGGAAGAGTTGAGGGACAGCACCCAGGCCCAGAGATCAGGACCCACGACCGGACACAAAACAAATAAACAAACAAACAAATAAATAAACAGTTTTCTCTGCCATTTTTCTCTTTCATTTAGAAATGTTATTAGTTTACCCTCTGTAAGGAGGATTTTATCCTCTGGGTTATTTTGTTTTGACACAAGTGATCATAAGGAACTTAATTTATTAGGCCCTCTATGAAGAATCTTATTTTTTTAATCACTTGTAGGGATTGAACTCAGGACCTGGGCACTGATCCTGAGCTCTTTTGCCCAAGGCTAACACTCTACCACTTTCAGCCACAGCACCACTTACAATTTCTGAATGATTAATTGGAGATAAGAGTCACAGGAGAATTTTCTGCCTGGACTGGCTTTGAACCATGTCCTCAGAACTCAGCCTCCAGAATAGCTAGGATTATAGACGTGAGCCACCAGTGTCTGGCTTATAATGAATATCTCTAACAGGTGTTGATAACTTGCTAATCTTAAATTAACTTTCCTTCAGTGATATCAGATTAACTGAAGTAGGTATTTGATTTCCTTACCTAATTCAAACCACAGTGATATTGGATAGAAGTCTTGAGAGACAATGGCAAATGAAGTCTCTGTACAGTACTTTTCTCTAGAATAACTAGAAGAGGGCCAATCAAATTGACCCTTCACCAAGACTCTCCTGGACACACATTTCAATTGAATTGGGCCTCTAGTGTTTTAAGTAGACAGGGTCAACTCCCTGCAGATCCAGGTATCAGGAGAAAGGGGTCTTTCTACCCACTGCTGGAGCCAGCCTGGTATTTGTGGTTCTTTTCTCCAAACACAGAAGAAATTTAAGTCACTTTCTGCACCAGAGCGATGCCCTTGTCCTCCACTTTGTTCTTCTCACACTGCTGCACCCACCTGCTGATTTGCATAGTGCTCCCCAAGGAGGACTTTCAGGCACTAGTTTGACATAAAGACTCATCTTGACCTTGACTTCACTGATTAAATCTCCTGGATTGCCAGCTAAAATGAGGCTCTGTTCTTGGGCTCTGGGTCTCCTAATGCTATGGATTACTGGTAAGGGCAGAGGGAGAAGATAAAAAAAGGGGGTTGAAGGGGAGCCCTTAGGGCCACTGCTTTATTTTTGTATTCTGTTCATGGTTTAGATGCACAGAACTTGTCCTCTAGAATGGGGCAGGTGAAGTTAATTATATGAGAGTGATGAACATTCTGGATGGAACCCGGTCCTGAGCTTTGTTGACAACTATGACAACTGTGTAGTTGGTAGTATACATGAGATCTTGAAACTCATTTATGCTTTTTAATATTTGTATTTTTTTGAAATATTGAAAGGTAGGATAGAAGGAAAAACCATGAAACGATTAGGAATAAATATATAACCACAGAAAAATTATATTACCAATATAACCTTGTGCTTTTCATTTATTTTAATTTCAGGATCCAGAGGCGATATTATAATGACTCAGACTCCACTCTCCCTGGCTGTCACCCTGGGAGAGAAGGTCTCCCTCTCCTGCAGGTCAAGTCAGAGCCTCTTACATAGCGATGGAGATAGTGCTCTATTTTGGTACTTGCAGAAGCCTGGCCAGTCTCCAAAACTCCTAATCTACTGGGCTTCCAACTGAGCTTCTGGGGTCCCAGGCAGATTCAGTGGCAGTGGGTCAGACACAGATTTCACACTGCAAATCAGCAGGGTGGAGGCTGAGGATATTGGGGTTTATTACTGCATGCAAGCTATAGATACTCCTCCCACAGTGATATAGTCCTTAACAAAAACATCTCTGTAGGGCTTGGCCCAGCAGTCCTATTTCAAAGCTTGTCTGGGGAGCAGCATAGCACATTCTCTGAACTGAAGCAGTAGTCTGAGTTTGGAGGACTTGACAGAAGATGTCATACCAGAGACCTTGTCCAAGTGGGATCTTGGGTTACTTTAGCTTCAAGGGACTCCCAGAACCAGAATTTATAATGTTAATGCAGAAATCAATTTATCACTTATTCCCAAATGTGAAAGACAAAGACAAAAACATCTACCACCATCATGCCATTTCTATAGTTTGGAGAGAATTACAGAGTAAAATCTCTTGCAGAATAACTCAAGAAACATTAGTAGCTAGCAATTGAAGAATGAATCACAAAGCTTGGCTTAAAAGTGAGAAAGATTTTATTTAATAGGAGTTACTGAATATCACCAAATAAATAGAATATGTTTGTTAAATATAAAGCAAATTAATTATATGATTCTGATGTTAAAACCTTGTTGCTTAATCAACCTATGATTCTGAAATTCCCATTAGTATTACTTTTAATTGTGAAAATACCATACAAAGGAGTTAACAATTACATGAGCAAGGTAATGAGAACATTTCTTATCAAGCATTGTTGTCTCCTCCCTTTTTTCCCCTTCCCATCCCTGCCCTCCCATCTTCCCCTCAACCCCCAAAAATTATAGAGTTCATTTTTTGACATAACGATTGTATATCTCATTGTTGCAATGGGTCCACTTATATCCCTATTTAAACCATTTGTTTTTTTTCCCTTCTCCTCCCCAAATTTTACCAACATCAAAGACAGTGAAAACAGGGGTCTCATTGGCACAGGCCCATTTTTTTTAACAAAGCTACAAATTGAAGTGTGACTGCATAAGGCTATGTTACATGTCTGTTTCCTCTAGTCCTCCTCCAATGGAGGCTCTTTCTCACCTGCCTCTTACAGGTTAGAAGAATATGTTCTTCCCTTCCAAAAACCTACCATTACATGGCCAACAAGCCTGACAATGAGCAAAGGCTTCCACTGAGACTTGAGCATGTACTGGATTTTCTCTCAGACAATGCACAGACCACTGAGATCCCTGTGTGCAGATCAGGTTCTTACTCTAGGCACACAACAGATCTTTTTTAAAAATAACTTTTTTTATTGTGAAAATACTGTACAGAGGGGTTACAATCACATGAGCAATGTAATGAGCACATTTCTTATCAAGCATTGTTGCCTCCTCCTTTGTTTTTCCCCTACCATCCCTGCCCTCCCAGCTCCAGAACTACATTTCCCTCTCTCCTCCCCCACTCCACGCCTAAATTATAAAGTTCGTTTTTCAACATAGGTCATATACATCTCACGGGTTAACCTGTATCCCAATTTAAACAATTTATTTTTTGGGACCGGTCGTGGGGCCTGAACTCTGAGCCTGGGTGCTGTCCCTCAGCTCTTCAGCTCAAGCCTAGTACTCTACCACTTGAGCTACAGCGCCACTTCCAGCTTTTTTTCTTCTTGCTTATGTGGTGCTGAGGAATCGAACCCAGAGCCTCATGCATGCAAGGCAAGCACTCTACCATTGAGCTACCTTCCCAGCCCTAAACATTTTTTTTCCTTTTCGCTCCCTAAAATATACCAACATCAAATACAGTGAAAACAGATGTTATACCATGGGGAAGGGGCTTACAAAGCTACAAGAAAATTACATGGTACCTTATAAATACATTAGCAACCATTGCAAGGAAGAAAAAAACCACTTGTGTCCCTGTCGTGGGGTTTATTTCACTGACTTTTTCTGCTTGTCTCAGATATATACTAGTTATTGCAAATAAGGGAACCCAAGGGGCCTATGTTTCTTTGGGCCTGGCTTGCTTCACAGATATATTTTTTTCCAAGATTTTCCATTTCCTAACAAATGGGGCAATATCATTCTTTCTGGTGGAAGCATAGAATTCCATTTTGTATGTATACCACATTTTCTTGATCCATTCATCTACTGAAGGGCATCTGGGTTGGTTCTGTATTTTAGGTATGGTAAATAATGCTGTATTAAACACATGTGCTGGTAGCTTTAGTATGGTCTACACAAGAATCTTTATGTTTATGATTCCTACCTGAGGCTCAGGGCATAGCAGTCTTATTACACAAATTGTGAAGTGGTTGATCTCCACTCTCATATCCACTCTTCTTTCCTCCTGAAACATATCCATTCCTAAAATGTCTTAGTCTCAAACCCAGTTGTGGGGGGACGTTGTGTGCACCAGGAGTGGATGTGTATCAAAAGACAGGTCCACCTTCAAAGTTTTTCTCATTAAATGCAGGTATATAGAAAGGCATGAGTTTTACAGTTTCATCATAGCTTCCTTTGGCTTCAGAAGTCTGAGATTTCAGGCCCCAGATACATCATAACCAGGGTCGAAGTAGGTGAATCTCTCAAATCCAGATCCCCATGCAGTTCATTTAGTGAAGGTTGATGAAGAGAACTCTGACTTTGGCAGGGACTTTCCCTATGTGTGAGCATCTTGACTGTGAGGAACAGTGTTATTTTGTGAACCTGCAGCAGCTGCTTGGACTCACAATGATGAGAGGTTGATTCACTGTCATGTCAATGTCCTGCTAGTGGCTCCCCAGATGTGACATCCTGCACTAGGGTGGACAGTGTCCCCACATGCTGGTCCTGATGTGGGAGCCATCCTCACTGTGCTCTGCCTTCACTGTCTGTGGCAGTTTTTCCTTCCTTCCCAGGCTAAGGATGTCTTCTCCATTCCTTGTGGATTCATTGCCTTGCTCACCCTTTACTGTGTTTCCTTTCATCAAATCTGAACTTGCTGGGATCACAAGTTCTAGCCTAGTTACTAAAAAATTCTGTTTAGAAACTGGAAGAGATGATAGTGTAAGATCATGAAGGTCTATGAAGCAGAGGAGACTGAAGTAGATGTGAGTTCTTGGTTTAGGGGACATCTTATCTTTGAGGGGGGTCTTTTGGGGCTATTGATAGGGGACAGGAATGTTACCTGAGAGATTTGGAGACTGCTAGCTCAGAAATTCAGGAAGATCACAGAGCTACATATGTAGCCATGTCTTTTAAATCTTTCCCACCCTGCTGATTTTCATGTGCCCTGAGCACAGCCCACTGCCCTGAGGACTTCTTCAGAGGCTGCTCACACCCTATGCAGGAGAAGGTTCCAGTCAGCAAGCAGCTTGGACATGAAGGCCCCTGCTCAGCTCCTGGGGCTCCTGCTGCTCTGGCTCCCAGGTAAGGAAGGACAATGCTGGCATTTCTCATATTGTGTTAACAGAGCAGCTTGAGGCTTCATGGAAGTACTTGGATAATATAGTTTATTTGTCAGGTGCCCTTTGTGATGTCCAGTTGACCCAGTTGCCATCCCTGCCTGCTTCTCTAGGAGAGAGAGTGGCCGTCACTTGCAAAGCCAGATAGGTCATTGTAAATGTAAATAATTACTTGCATTTTTACCAGCAGAGAACAGAGAAAGCTCCAAATCTCCTGATGTATTTTGCACCTACTTTGTAATCTGGGATCCCATGGG